ACTACTCTACTACTCTACTACTACTACTACTATTACTCCTACTCCTACTCCTCTCCTACTCCTACTCCTATCCTTATTCCTTATTAGAATATACTCCTACTCCCCCCTCAGGCCGGCCATTAGGGGCCGCATCCGGGTGGTCCCATCCTAACCTGTAAAAAACAATACAAAATCAACATTTTTCTTATTTTGTCCTCTCGACATGGACGTCCTGTCGTCCACGGCGATAATCCATTGCAAAAAACTACCACAAAGAGCACACGCGCGCGTTCATGTCAGAATCCTACCGAACACCGTGTGTTTGCAAGCATTTCAACATAAAAACATCAAAAACCAATGCTTTTTCACAAAAATTGTACAAATTTCCCGCCCGGGCTCTCTTGCTGAAATCATAGGAAAACCATAGGAATCTTAAGAATTCGGTCAAATCCAGCGATTTCACGTCATCGCGCGGTGCACTCGCGATGCTCTGTCATGCACCCAGGCCGCGAATCCTGTGCAAAAAATACCACAAAGAGCACACTCGCGCGTTCATGTCAGAATCCTACCGAACACCGTGTGTTTGCAAGCATTTCAACATAAAAACATCAAAAACCCAATGCTTTTTCACAAAAATGCTTTGGGGTGTCCTGTCAGACCGTCGGGCTTCCTCCGGCCACCTCTGGCTTCCTGCGGTGTACCGGGCCATTCTCGACTCGTCTGGCAATGCGTGCGCGGCATTCAACACGCGCTCGCCAGTTCCCGTCGGCAACCGCCATCGCGGCCGCATCAGCTGTACCAAACCGGCTGGCCGGTGTGACTTCGGCCCCCAGTTGTGCCAGCTTTGCTTCTTATGTTGTGGGAGGGCGGGTGGGACTGGGCATGCCATGCTTGACTCGCTCGAGCTGGCTAGCTTGACTCCTACTCCTACTCCTACTCCTACTCCTACTCCTACTCCTACTCCTACTACTACTACTACTACTACCACTACTACTACTGCTAGACTACTACTACTACTACCATACTACTACTACTCCACTACTGACTACTACTACTACTACTACTTACTACTACTACCTACGACTACTATTACTACTACTACGACTACTACTACTACTACTACTACTACTACTACTCTACTACGACTACGACCTACGACGAACGACGACGACGACGACGACGACGACGACGCGAGCGAGACGACGACGACGACGACGACGACGACGACGACGCCGACGACGACGTCGACGACGACGACGACGACGACCTACTGCTACTGCTACTAGACTACTACTACTACTACTAGTACTATATTACTACTAGTATGACTGCTACTGCTACTGCACTGCTACTACTACTACGACTATTACTACTACTACACTAACTAACTACTACTACTGAACTACTACTACTACTACTACTACAACTACTACTACTACTACTACTACTACTACTACTACTACTACTACTACTACTACTACTATTATTGCTATTACTACTACTACTCCTACTACTACTCCTACTCCTACTCCTCTCCTACTCCTACTCCTACTCCTATCCTTCTTCCTTATTAGAATATACTCCTACTCCCCCCTCAGGCCAGCCATTAGGGGCCGCATCCGGGTGGTCCCATCCTAACCTGTAAAAAACAATACAAAATCAACATTTTTCTTATTTCTTCCTCTCGACATGGACGTCCTGTCGTCCACGGCGATAATCCATTGCAAAAAATACCACAAAGAGCACACGCGCGCGTTCATGTCAGAATCCTACCGACCACCGTGTGTTTGCAAGCATTTCAACATAAAAACATCAAAACCTTTTT